AAGTTTGAATTAAAACATATTTGGTAGAGATATGAAATGTAGTTTGCACTAATCAAACTAAACACAAATAAATGTTTCACCTTAAAACTATGGGTGATACCACGAGGACAAACATGTGAGGTAACAGTATGTATCTATCAACAGAATAATTTAAATTCTTATTCACAGCCGATCAATTAGTAACCACTGGATTAAGTACCATGGAGAGGTTAGTTCTTAAGTAACCTCTGAAAAATTAAGACCTTTTTAAGTTCACCAGCCCCATCCCCACAGCTGGTGGCCATCACAGCTCAGCGAGGAGAGAGGAACAATCACGTTTCAATAATAATGTTTCAGAGAAGACCATAAATGTAGGAAAATCATGCTTCCGGCGACAGGAATCTCAGATTGGCCTGGAGAAGGTGTCTCTAAACTAAAGAATAGAGACAAAGCTCTCTTTTAACAAGTATTTTATGCATTAGTAAATCTTTATTTCTTTTTGAACAATATATCCGTCCAAGTGATAAACATACAAAATGCCACATGTCTCATCATGATCACATGCACCGATTCCGAGCTTCCCATTGGTCACTGATATTGAAATACAATGAACCACCACAAATAATTGGCCAGTAAAACATAAAAAAGACAAAGCATTAAGCATGTTAAATGTCACAACCTGCCATTTCTATAGACGCCAACTGCCAAACCCAGAACACCAACTGCCAAAGCCAGAACACCAACTGCCAAACTCAGAACACCAACTGCCATCCACAAAAAGATGCCGACGTTAACAATATGTCACAGCTTGGGATGGTGACATGAAAAATAAAAAAGACTTCAGGATTGTAGAATTTTATCTAAAATGATAGAAATTCACAAAATCTGTTTTGGAACATGTCTTGTTTCAAGAAAAAAATGATGAAAATGTGCACCCTTTGAGTTAAAGTTTATACAAACATTAAAAATGGACAACCTTTATGCTGATTAATTTTAATATCATGTGGTTCATAGTTCTTTTAAATAGAGTAAATGTGAGTTGGTCTAGCAGCTAAACAGCGAATGAAACAATATTTTAGGCTTGGATTAGACAAAATAAAAATGTGACATCTGACAATTAATGTATTTGGAGGTCCCAAGGCACATTATAAAATGATCAGTTCATCACTTGATATGAAAATACAATCTTCTGTAAAGTTGGACAAAGCAGTTAATAAAGAACTGTATTCAAAAGACATCTGATCAGACACTTAGTAAATCACTTCTTGTATTTGTATCGTAAAGCTTTTCTCAAAGGTTTTCATTATGATGCAATGGGAGTAGTCATCCATTCCAAAACATTTCACAAGCGAAAGACCATTACACATCATTCCTCAATAAGACAAAAAATAAGGCTTACATAACATACTATAAGCATGTTATCACATTCTTCTTAATTGACTACATCTAAGTTTTTCTCTCCTCTACTGAATGAGGAAATGTAAGAAAGTGCAGTAAGATTCTTGGAACGAAACCCTGATTGGGAAGACGGCTCTATACAATATAGAGTAAGAGACATACAATTGGTGACGTCAATCGCCACAAAGCACACAAACAAGTTAAGCTAACCCCAGCAGATATTTATGGCTCACAAGTTATAATCTATCAATTAGAGAATTGATCCATTTACTACTAAAGCTATAAATATGTTTTAACGATGTCTTTACATCTTTGACGCATTATTGACGCCATCTCCCATCAATAGAATGAAATATGTCATAATCCAAATATGAAGGGCATTGACACATTCATCCTCTAAAGTGATATACCACTGTGCATCTTGCTCATGATTATTGGGCATCTGCTTATTTAAGGGGAGAATGGGAGGGGGTACAAGGGGTTGATGCAAGACAATTTGATATGTTTCAGTTATAGTCATATATATTTTTTTCCATTTGGAAGACTGATCTTAGATAATGTTACTTATATTATGATGAACCTCTCCTTGTTCAGATAATGCGAGGGCGAGGGGCCTATGCCAAAGAGTCATGGCTTTACCAATGTCCTACTCATATTAGGGATATGACAAAGCTTAGTATTTCTAACATATCTCTACATCAATTATTATCATAAATAAGCCATTTATTTTCTTCAGTTAACTGCACTTGATCTTAATCCTTTGAATATTCTGTAATATTAAGAAATGGTAACCACCTAAAATGCATATTTGAACAAGGCATTAACAAGCAAAATGCCACCACTAGCCATTTGTTACAGATGCCAAACATTGACCACCAAACACCAACCACCAAACACTATCCCAAAGATGATGAAAGCTATATCAAAATGTACACTTATACGAAATGTACCCTTGAGTTTAGAATTCATGACAAATATGCCATTTATCAATTTAAAGATGCATTATACCATAGGTTTCTCCCCTAGACAACCAATGATGTCCTATATTGTTATTGCCCATATAATATCTCACAAACCATGGATATATCTTGAGAATAACTTTTGGGTATATTATTGCCGAAATACTGAAATAATCAACAGAACAACCAACCTCCAGAATTAAACACAATCGATTCCTCAGCTAGCGAGTGGAATCCCCATTGAGTCACACAAGCGCCTTGAGCAGCCAATCAGGTTCATGATAAACAAATTCATGACCAATCAGATAACAGGAGGACTTTCCCGGTATATTCAAACTTCAGATTGAATTAATTTCCGCGAAAATAATTAGATCGACCAGCGCAATCGCAAAATTTACACTGAAAGAGGGGGATTTGGGACTTTTTCTTTGGTAAGTAGATGGGTGAATATGTGGTGAAACTCAATATGCAAAAAAAAGTCCAAGGGGGTCTTGATTGTGCTAGTCTCAATATTATGGCATAGAGCCTCTTTAATGTATGTAGTGTTGCAATAACCACCTTTGGCACAGGTGACTATCCACATAATCTCAATAGACTGGTAATAATGTCACCGATTATTGTGCCATTTACAGGAATATATTGCAGATGTATAGAAAAAGCCATGTACTGTATACAATTATTGACCTCTCCAGAGGTTTACTGTCAAAATTATATCCCGAGACTGTAAACCGAGACCGTAGGTCGAGGTTTACAGTCGAGGGATGTAATTTTGACAGTAAACCAAATGGAGAGGTCTGTAATTGTTTTGTTAGTCCGAAGAATATCTTAGATTTTTCTGACCCTTGAAGTTGACTTGAAATTGGATCCAGACCCTCGAGACGTTCATGTTGTATTTCAAACACAATATTCCTTACATCACTTAATGGAGTCAAATTACTCTCCTGGGCGAAGTCCACTAAAAACTTTGTACAAAGTTTTAGATTTTTCTTCGTATTTTGACTGTCTTTACTCTCTAAGAGACTAATAATATCCTCATCTTCAACATTTTTGAAACGGCTAGTGCTAGCGGCGGCCATTTTATCGTCTGATAATGACGTCATTTTAGTGGAATGCTGGGAATATTATTCACCGGCAATGCATTGCGCGGTGTACAATTAAAATTATTCACTGCTCGTTGACCAATCAAAATCGAGTATTTCAACTGAGGTACTAACAATAGCATTTATCTTTGAAATCATGTTTCAATGTGTTTCAATCTAAATTAAGAAGTTTTTAGATCTAACATAAAAGGAATCAAAAAGACTCACCTTTTTACATAAGGAAAATGATTGGTTGAGTGAGTTGAAGATTTTAATGAGTGTTAATTAATTCAACTCATCGGGGTGCTAAAATAGACATCTATTATTGTGAATATTGCTTCAGAGCAGATCTTGCAATAAATAATATGTTACATGAGAACATTTTCTTTGTCTATAAACTGAATAAGTAAAAACCGCCATTCCAAAATATTACTTTCTAGTCAAGGTCACTGTTTTTCTTCAAAAAATAAGTTGGAATAACATTTTCTGAAGGCATTACTATAGTTGTGATTAGTAGATACATGATATACAGTGCTTCGTTTCAGATTGCTTAACCAACGCTACATTTAACTTAATAGAAACTAGCACTTTACTGTGCTAAGTAAAGGAGCATGTATAAACCCATCAGGTTATATCTGGAAAAAGCTATCAATTAAATTATTGATTTGTGACGTCAATAGAAAATCTATACAGCATTGGGATGTTTGACGCTAGTGTTAGTGCTTGCGTTGTAACATCAGGTGGTCACAGATTTGTAGATTCCCATTCCTAAAAATCTCAATAAAGTCACAGCTTTTCGTCACTCTTTTTCATAAAATGTCTGTTTTTCAAATCATTCTGTATATACCTAATAATTATTTAAATGAAAATTTAGTCTTTTTATACCAAGTCTCAATTTGGAAAACGTAGTTCATCAGTCTACTGCGCTAATAATTTTTTTATGAAAAATATAGAAATAACACCCAAATTAAATTATGGATATTTAAAAGAGGACATTGAAATCTACAATATGTAAAAATATCAAAATTGTTCTCCAAACCGAGACTAGTCATTTCATGAATGGGCAGATATTTATGCCTCCTCTCATTTATGGTAAATAAGGTGACAAACTAGAGTTTACAAGGTCTAGTACAATACAGTAGAGAATCAGAACTAAAGATACAGAAAATTAATCTCTTTGGCTTTAACTGCAGAATGAACTGAAACAATGATGTCACATTGAGTCCTGCTACTGCCCTCTATATATGGACAAAACCATCATTATTATTCAGCAATATAATACAAACAAACAAGCTACTATCATGCTTCCATCTTTCAGGTCAATAAAGGAATCAAACACGAGACTCAATAAGTTGTTGGTGATTTGTTGCACCAGATTCTAGTTCCAGTTTGAAAAAGGGCAACATCAATTCAAGGAATTAGCCTAATGATTAGATGCATTAACACCTAATCATTACTGATGATAATGTTTGTTTTCTAATATAGCATGACTATACTTGATTCTAATTGTCCAAAAAGTGATAATGGATGCCTTAAAATATGCGATATTGCTTTTATTCACATTTTATAATTGTATACAACTTACCTGAGAGAGTATGAAGACCAGGTGTTTGTGGTGTACGAGGTGTTTTTGGTGTATGTGAACTCTCAGAAGCTTGCACCCATATATGGTCTTCTTCTCCTGCCATTGTGTCACACGCACTTGACTTGGGCTTGGACTTCTTACTGGGTCTGGGTGGTGCTTGGAGTACAAATGGTTTTGGCCTATCAGGTCGTTCTGGTGCATCATGCCTAGTTGGAACACCTGGGGATGCCAAAGTCATCTTAAGAGTCTGTGTCACGGAGTTTCCTGTGGAGGTCACAACACTTTTGATATTGAGGTGTCGGGGCTTGGCTGGTATAATAGGAGGTCTTGGGGGTACTGGCGGTGGCATGTCGACAGAGTCATCATCATCTGAGGGTATATCTGTAGGGAGTGGGGGCAGGGGGCGGTGGTGTAACATCTTCTCCCCCCTTTCCTCATCTGCTGGTAGTACAGGAGACATGGGGATAGGCGGCAGAGGTCGATTGAGTGATGATGATCTTGAGATGGGTGGTTTTGAACTTTTCATTGGCCTCCTCATGTCACCAACCATAACTTTATCATTGCACTTATCCCCCTGTTGTGTGACAACATGTTCATTGTTAGCTGCCACATCACTCTGCTTGTTAATGTCTATAGTCAATGTCTGAGCCACAATGGCACCAACCTGGTGCTCACCTAGATGTGACTGTCCACGTCTGTTTTGAGGCGGAGACGGGGAGCTCAAATCACTTCCATACTCCATCATCATATAATTTGGTTGCTCTGAGATCATCATATTCACAGGTTTATCTGGAAATCTCAGTCTGGCATAGCTTCCTGCGACAGCATCCATAGACTCGGACAGTGATGTTGTCTGATCATTTAAACTACTAGAACGCATGCGATTTTCCTCTTCCCTTGGAGGGTAAAAGTTTGGTGAACTCAATACAGATTTCAAATGTTTAACTGGTCGGGCCCCAATGGGACTTAGGATATCTTCTCTACTGCTTGTGAGACTGGCATCACTGTTATTGGCATAAGTCTCTACTGGAGAGTTGGACTTAGACTTCCTTGGCATTGTACAATATGGACTATCTGGGTCAGATTCATCTACAATATTATCATTGGATTTTGATACTCTTTTCAAGGACAGAGGTTTAAATGCTTGAGGAGCACTAGCACGTCTGGACTTCTTGTCAAAGGCCACACCATCTAGAATGTTCTCCTGACTGCCCTTACGACTACTCTTTGAGTTTCTTCTAATAAGACGACTGAAAAAACTTGAACTAGCACCATCTTTGGTTTTCTGAGTTGGAGTAGTGTCACCTCCCCTGCTTGTATCATTGTTTCTATTGTCCTCCTCTATCTTGGCACTGAGCAAGAGATCCGACAGTAGCAAGGGGCGGGGTGGTGTAGGGGGTGGCCTGTGTTCAGATCTGGGGGTGTAAGATATCAAATTGTCGAAAGGTGCCTGCCTAGGTTTAACACGTCGCTCAAACTCTTGACTAGGGTTGTCCTGAGCAACAGGTCTTGAACCCCTAGGTTCAGGCAATGTAGGGGGTGAGGAACGGTTGTATCTTGCACTGAAACTCGAGTCACTCTGTCTCCTAGGTATGTTGCCTTGTGTGTTAGACTTGGCTGGTTTAGGAGGAAGAGTAACTAACTCTAAATGTGGCTCATCTTCCTCATCCATATCAATGTTTGAAGACTGTTCATATGGACCCATTAAGCCCCTCAAGTGAGTCTCAACATCCTTACTTGCCACTGTTGATTTTCCTCTTGCATTAGCTGCTTTTGATTTATTTGATATTGCAGATGCATTGTCATCATCTGAGCTGGATTTTGCATTGCCATCACCAACGGCATTCATCTCCATATATTGCATATCTCTATCTAGTACTTTGCTGAAATCAAACAAACTTTGAACTGCCGCTTGAGAATTCTTTTCAATGAGTGGGGAATTTGAGGCTTTCACAGGGAAACTCACAGATCCACTGCGAGCCTTTATTTGACCCATTGAGGACTTATTCAGAATACTTAATGAAAGAGCTCTGTTTAAACTGTTCATTGCTAAGCCTTCTCGTTTAGTAGCAGAGTGTGCAGGGGGCATTGTCCTTGTTGGTAGGTTTTTACAGCTGTTTGTTTTATGCAAGCGAGGGGGAGTGGGTGGAGCACTTCTTGGTGGAGTTGGTGGGGCACTCCTTATATTTCTAGGAGGTGTTGGGGGACTTTTTCTTGATGCTAATTTCTTATTTGATTCATTTTTCTTGGTTTTAGTTTGACTACTATCTAGATCTACTTCACAGTATTCATGTAGATTGTTGTATATTGCCTCTTGTGAATGCTCATTTCTTGTATTATTCACATTGGATGGCCCATTGGATGTATTACTCAGACATGTATTGTTCATAACTGGTCTCTGCTGGAAATTATCTTTCCCCATCATAATGTAATCTGCTTTGGTTGAGTTGTCCACCATGTCTCCTTGTTGACTAGAAATAAGAGCATCATCATGAGATGATGGTTTCATAGGTATGTAATTGTCCTCTTTAGCATTTGCATTAATAGCCTGATTACTTGGTGGATCCATAGCGATATAATTTGGGCTGCAAGGATGTTTGTTCGTGGGCTCCATGGCGATATAATTTGGGCTGCAAGGAGTATCATTTGTGGGATCCATGGCAATATAATTTGGGCTGCAGGGAGTATTATTTGTGGGCTCCATGGCAATATAATTTGGGCTGCAAGGAGAATTATTTGTGGGCTCCATGGCAAAATAATTTGGGCTGCAAGGAGTATTATTTGTGGGCTCCATGGCAATATAATTTGGGCTGCAAGGAGAATTATTTGTGGGCTCCATGGCAAAATAATTTGGGCTGCAAGGAGTATTATTTGTGGGCTCCATGGCGATATAATTTGGGCTGCAAGGAGTATCAGAAGACTCCATTACAATGTAATTTGGAGAGGATGGTGGGAGAGTTGAGGAGTCCATCATCATGTAATTGGGGTCAGCAGTGGGTTCCATGGTAATGTAGCTAGAACACTCGCTATTAGATTGTTCATTCAAACTGTTCGTCTCAGATGAAGAGATGAGGTCCCCTTGATTATTCCTGAATTCAATTAGACTCTTCAGTGTTGCTGTTCCCTTTACACTCCCAGTTACTGTGTCAAACGATGAGTCGGAGGATATGCTCATGGATCCAAGACTGCTACGTCGATGGTGTAACGGGTCCTCATTTTCTATATTAGGGATGTTCACATATTTGTGTTTGCGTTTCTTCTCTAAGATGAGAGGAGAATCGGGACCAGGGATGTTGACATACCTGTGTCTTTTCGGTGGAGGGACTAGCCCCTTATGGCTCTCCTTCGGCGAATCAGGAATATTCACATATCTACGGAATGATTTCTTAAGCTTAGCCTTTGAGATCCTTGAAGCTGTTTTCCCTTTACATGGGAGTGTATGTGTTTGCACTACTGTAGCATATTCCACCTTGTCAGCCCCTCTGATGTCATCATATAAATTACGTGGAGATATTGGGGGCTCAACAGAGGCTGGGGTGTGCCTAGGAAGGCTCATAGAACTCATTTGACTTCCAGGTATGGGCTGAAAGTTCCAAATGGTGTTTGATGAGTTCCAACTACTATATGTCCGCCTTGCACCATCATATTTGCTAAGATCCACATATTTTAAAGCACCAGTTGGAGCGATGTTTTTGTTCTGTTCATGCATCTTTATTTTAGAGTTTATTGACAGATTGCTACCGTACTGGCTTAGATTTAGACTGTAAGAACTGCCTTTAGACAAGGAGGTATCAACAGAATTAGATTCACTGAGGTTTACTTGATCAATTGCTGAATCCTTTTCCATTTCATTACTTATTTTAGCAGTACTTGCATAGATATCATCTTTATGAGTATTATCATTGGTGGTTTGAATAAAAGCATCTTTGCCATATGTATCATTGTCATTGGTGGACTGCTGATGTGACTTGTTCATGGGAGAGTTACATGGTGAGCCCAATGGGGCCTGACTGGATGTCTTGGTATTGTTCATGTTATTGTTATCAGCGTCCTTAGAGACCTGGGCCTCGTACTGGGAGCATGCTTCTAGGATCTCATCCAGGAGAGCAAAATCATTCTCACTAGGAGGAGCCTGGTTATTATTTACTGATGGTTCACTTGTATTCACTGGGGTTATCTCTGAGAGTTCATACCCAACTTGCTGCTGTCTAGCTTGTCTGTTATCAACTGATGCTTGAAACTGGTTACTGCTAGACTTTGGCTTCTCACTTACTTTATTATTCCCTACAAATGGGTTGACTATTTCACTAGAACTTTGACAACACTGTATGAGACTTTGACTGTGTTGGAGTCTGGGCCGTGACTGAGCTGTGATTTGCAAGTCCTTCCTATCAGTCACATTTGAGACACTATGTGGCACATTGGAGATACTCGGTGTCACACTTGAGATACTTGATGTCACACTTGATATACTACTCAGCCCACTAACACCACCAGGCATCAAGTAATATTCATCTAAAGAATGTCTTTTGGGTGTTGAGAATAAGCGCTTCTGGTCTAATATAGAATCTAAACTGTCTTCCATTTGTAACTCATAACTGTAAGATGATTGTGAAGAGCCATCTGTTACCATATTAGAGTGGCCACGACCTGGGCCTATGTTCTCTATGCTGACTAGACGTTTGTCTCTGGGATCTCTGGTCGGTCTGCTATCTGCACGCTCTGATTGGCTGTGCCTGTCTGCTGGGTTCTGCTGGGGCTGCGAGTATGACTGATTATCGGGAAGTTGTAGCACTAACTTGGCTAAGCTGTTCAGGCTTCCATGGGACTCTGAAAATACATATCTCAAAAATTAAATATTGCATTTCAATTCAAAGGAGTGGTATCGATATGGAGAACACACGTTTCTCTTAAACCAGTCAAAAAAAAATCTAAAAATTTAACACATCGTCAATTTAATGGTCATCTTTTGAATGGTAACAATATAATTTGAAAAATAAATATATACTTTCATCTATATTGTTTTAGAAAACACATCAAACACTTGTTTTGTTCTTGGTATCATGTTTCCAGAGTGAAATGAAACATCTTTCCGAACCTCATTGGAACAAAACGACATAAACACAACATGTTTAGGTCTCTCAATATTGTAATTGTACAAAGGAAATTTTGGTTGATTTTAAAAAAGTATCTTGTTAATGAAATAAAAGGTTTATCTCAATTTTTATCTATTTTGGGGGATTTTGTTTTAATTTTTTGAGTACTTTTTTAAACCAAAAATTCCTTTGTATAACTATAATATTGAGAGGTCTAAAAACATGTTGTATATGCTATTTTGTGTTCCAACAAGGTTCGGAAAGACATTTTATTTCATTCTCAAGAATTGGTAGAAAGAGACAAAAACAATTGCACTAAAAAAAAAAAAATGTTAACATAAACTATTTCTATATAAATTTCGCATTAAATTGTTGTCAATCAATCAACATTACATAAATAGTCTGGATGTAGAGCCAATAGAGGTGGAAATGCTTATTATATGAACTTTTTTTGCATTTTCTATTTAAACATGATATCCATATTCAGAAACTGTCGGATGCCCAACGGGCATCCTTGAGGAATTTTTTTGGCGGCCATTTTGAATTTCCACACGTTTTATGTATTTTAGCCAGCATATTAGAACAGAAAACTAGCATACACATAAGCATATATTGCTGTTTTTTCTATAATAGAGTTTTAATATGATGTATACCAATATGTTAGGTTCAAGAAATGTTTCTTGACAAAAATAAAAAAAAATTCAAGATGGCCGCCAACCTTACAATTTATGAAATGTCTCATTCTGTGATAATATCAAATTGATATTAGTGTTTCCTACAAAATTATCAATAAATAATACTAAATACATCTGATTATGATCTCTTTCTCACATATAACATATCTGAAATGAGTAAAAAGTAATCTACATAATGATAATGATGTTCCACAAGGGTCATTTCTTGGTGCTATATATATCTTGAATTTATGAATTATCTTCTTTTACTAAGATTTCATCAAGGATTTCCCTCAATAAATCCTCATCAGTTTCTTCCAATTCCTGTTCAGTTACTGTCTTTGTATGTTGGTTATTGCATTCATTCCCCTTGCAAACAAAGAACAATGTACATGATAAAGATGCCTTGGAGCACGAACATCGCCCAGTTCCACATACATTGCCCACTGATGCACATGTGCACTTAATGAGCTGGAGAATTCCTTCAGGGGTACAGGGTGTATCCTTGGGCATTGTTGTTGGGACAAGTGAGCCTGTGCTGTTAATTTCCCAACCATAATCTGTTGGAAGGATAAGTGGGGGGTCAGGCATATCAGCATTTTTCCATATAGCTACTTGGAAATGAGCTCACCTCACATGCTGGGAAAATGCTTCTGTTGTTGGTAGGAGGGATTTTATCTTTGGTGCATTTGTAATGTGTTTTGCAGCATTTTCTTTGCCCATACAGCATATCTCACCTCAGACATTTTGTCTGTGACTTCAGGTGTAATTCCATAACATCTAGAAACAAATTCTGTTGAAGTTTTCTCAACTTCAGTCATGTCTGCATTGACATCTCCCAAGTTAGCGAGTGAGTATCTATTTAACACCTTCAGGACTGTTAGCTTGCCAATTCCATGCATGCAAGATGTCGTATCACTGCCAGAGAGACCATGCGCAGGTAACAAGTTTGGGATTTTTAATTTGTGTTCATTCACGGTTGCATTAATGTTAATGTTTGCTCGGCCAGATGATCTTCCCACCATTATGACGTTATTTTCCATTAACTTGTGCTTGAGACAGTGATGAAGAAGTAGAAGGAAAACATCGGTATCATCACTGAGTACACTGATATTCTGTTGGCCTTTACTGGCAGCATGCAGTACCTGGTGTACGATAACAACATCTGCTTCTTCTTGAGTGTTCCTTAAGTCATCACGTTGGTCAATATTGCCTTTGTGAATTTGTACAGGTGTTGGATCAGGACCTGTGATAACAAGGATGTTGGAGAATGATCCTTCACTAGCTTTTTGAGTGAGATGGTCGATGACACACTTTATCAACTGGACCTTGTTCTCAGTCACATTCAGAACAACATTCTGTGCAGGGAGAGGTGTGTCAGAGCTGAACTTATACACTCTACTGGCTGATTGAGCTCGAGATGACCTGGTGCTGTTCTTTATGCTATTGCCTTTATATCTGTCAAAGATAAGGTATACATCTGATTCGGTTAGGAGTCTCAGGATGTACTTAGTGAAAGCAATACAGAAGATTTCGATTTTGCCAGCCATCAGCCATGTTATGGTCCAAAGGAAGGCACACCCATCAAAGACACGTACATTCTAGATGTTATGAAATTACACCTAAAGTCACAGACAAAATGTCTGATGTGAGATATGCTGTATGGGCAAAGAAAATGCTGCAAAACACATTACAAATGCACCAAAGCTAAAATCCCTCCCACCAACAACAGAAGCATTTTCCCAGCATGTGAAGCGAGCTCATTGCCAAGTAGCTATATCGAAAAATGCTGATATGCCTGGCCCCCCACTTATCCTTCCAACAGATTATGGTTGGGAAATTAACAGCACGGGCTCACTTGTCCCAACAACAATGCCCAAGGATACACCCTGTACCCCTGAAGGAATTCTCCAGCTCATTAAGTGCACATGTGCATCAGAGGGCAATGTACGTGGAACTGGGCGATGTTCATGCTCCAAGGCATCTTTATCATGTACATTGTTCTGTGTTTGCAAGGGGTATGAATGCAATAACCAACATACAAAGACAGTAACTGAACAGGAATTGAAAGAAACTGATGAGGATTTATTGAGGAAAATCCTTGATGAAACATTAGTAAAAGAAGATAATTCATAAATTCAAGATATATATAGCACCAAGAAATGACCCTTGTGGAACATCATTATTATTATGTAGGTTACTTTTTACTCGTTTCAGATATTTTATATGTGAGATAGAGATCATAATCAGATGTATTTAGTATTATTTATTGATAATTTTGTAGGAAACACTAAAATCAAGTTGATATTATCACAGAATGAGACATTTCATAAATTGTAAGGTTGGCGGCCATCTTGAATTTTTTTTTATTTTTGTCAAGAAACATTTCTGGAACCTAACATATTGGTATACATCATATTAAAACTCTATTATAGAAAAAACAGCAATATATGTTTATGTGTATGCTAGTTTTCTGTTCTAATATGCTGGCTGAAATACATAAAACGTGTGAAAATTTAAAATGGCCACCAAAAAAATTCCTCAAGGATGCCCGTTAGGCATCTGACAGTTTCTGAATATGGATATCATATTTAAACAGAAAATGCAAAAAAAGTTCATATAATAAGCATTTCCACCTTCACTGAAAATATGGCACTTAACATCCAGACTAAAAGGACCGTGTTATTTTACAGAATGTTTTCAATGATTGGTTTAAGAGAAAAACATTGTTGAATTTAGTTCTCCATATCGATAATAATCCTTTGCAATTATCTTATTCAATACAGTTTCAGCTTCAATATATCTCAAGTGAATACAGTGAATTCAAGATTAAAATTATGTGATGTGATTAAACATTTGCAAAGCCAGTTGATCAAATTATTAAATTCAACAAACTGTTACAATATTTATATGTACCGGTACATTGTTTTTAATGTATACTTTCAGGCGATGTTATCATTTAATATACTGGCAGAATCATTACAATTTTCCAAGTATACACTTTATCATTAGGTATATGCTCTCATAAAATATATGACATGCCCTCATAAAAGAAACATTTATCATTTCTATTCAGATGTTAAACCATGCAAATAGGTGAAACCAAATGAATAATCATGAAAAAGTTAATAAATATGAAATCAAGTGTCATCATTTAAAGCCGAAGCCAAAACATGTCAACGAATTTTTATGTAATCTTTGTGTTATTTTAGAATTTTTATTTTTGTCTTCTATAAATACAACACTAGAACTTATTTGACACTCTTCAGAAATTTTAAAATACTGTTGGCGGATCTGGTGTTATATTTAAAGGGCTGATCCTCATAAATTCTTATGTTATTCTACATTTAGCAAGTTCATTTATTGAAAAATGTAGACATAGAAGGCCTTTGAAGATAACAAGAAAATGCAATATTTAAAGAAATTAATAAAAAAAAAACTGAATTGCTTTATCTTCTTGTATATCAAGGAGGACTTTTTTATTTAATGAAGTTTCAGATAAAAGTAAAATGACATGGAATAATAAAATAAAAGAGACAAATGTCTGTTATCTGGGACAATCTAAATGAGAACTGGCATACTGGTGTTTTAACTAAATATGATATTTAAAATGTATCAGCAATGATATATAATGGCAACAGCTTCCAATAGCAACATTAATGGAAAAAGGTCATTGAGCTATGGAAGGGAATTATCTTTTCATCGAGACTAAATGGAATAGCCAATTCCATAATAACTAACACATCTGGAAAAAGTGTCACAGGAAAAGTAACCCCGTGGTTGTCTCAGTTCTACTAGCTTAATTATTACTTTTTCATTGGATTCATTTGGATTATTACTTATTCATTATTACTTATTCATTGTGATTATAACATCCATTGGGATTATTATGTGTTCATTTGGATTATTTATTATCTTCCACATTTATCTTGAATTAACTTATTTTGGAGAAAGTACATCCATTTCTGAGACTCAGTTATATCTATAATATGCATGTCAGCATAGGATGCTCTTAAAGGTTAGGTGAACAACAGTTCACATTCTTACTTCTCTTGAGGAGCAGTCTGCGAGATGATGTCGTTACTCTGGTCCTACTGGCTTCACGCAAAGCTTCATCAATCTCTACATGGAGATCTGTCTTAAATACAAACACACCAGCATCTACAAACACATCAGAATTGTAATTTTAAAAGTTGTGACCATCTTGAAAAAATCTGTACCTAGTATTTGAGTTATCTTCAAGACAGATGGACTGACTGATGGACAGAGGGCTTCACTATACCCCTACCAAATTTCATTCATTGGAATAATGAATCTAGCAGGGTATCCAAGAACATTGATTTACTAGAGGTTTTGGAAGTGATTTGGTACAGTGTAACAAACACATGAACATGTTTAAGGTAACAGAGAAGTGAGAATTAATGAGATGAAACAAATATGCCTGAGCTCTTCAGCTATAGCTCCATAACTCCAGCACTATAGCAACTTTGTATTGATGACATCATACACATATGTAACCAATTCAAATTTGGTAGAAATAATATATAATGTTCAAGGTACCTGTATACCAGTTATATAATGCACACATGTATTGAGAATCATATTCATGTAAATGTTATACATACACTTGCCACATCTAGACCCTGCTTCAAAACAGAACTTGTCATCTATGAGTCCAAATCTGCGTAGTTGTGTGACGTCCCAGGAGGCTAGTAGTTTAGGAGGGATGTATGCCACAAGTGAGATCCTGGGGCCTTGGATATGGAGACGCACTTGACCTGTGGGGAATTTACTCTTATTGGGACTCTGTTGCAACTTGGCTGGGAATTGTTTATCTGAAAATAGAATTTCAAAAGTCTCAGTATTAGGAAATGTTCCAAAATGTATAATCTGATGATGTTACACTGAAATGACGCTAAAACCATTCCAAATGAACTTGTAGCATTGCTGACTAATACTATATTTATACTGCAGTGTAAGGTAATTAATATCCTAAATGCATTTAGCTATCCTGGCCTCCCATATGCCACATTTAGAGCTGATAAAGGATGAAGTGTTCAAAGCTTCACAGGCACCTCATATAATATACACTGGTAGCATATGTTACTACCTCACCTGGAAGACCTGGAACTATAGGTAGACACCTGGGGTTATAGCCTGTTTGCAGGATTCTGCACAGGCCTAAGATGCATGCTTTGTGATGGACGAAATGTACTATTACAACATGTATGACAAACAAAATGTACTATTACAACATCTGAGGCGAACAAAATGTACTATTACAACATAAGAGGCAAACAAAATATACTATTACAACATGAATGACAAACAAAATGTACTATTACAACATGTGTGACAAACAAAATGTACTATTACAACATCTGAGGCGAACAAAATGTACTATTACAACATAAGAGGCAAACAAAATATACTATTACAACATGAATGACAAACAAAATGTACTATTACAACATGTGTGACAAACAAAATGTACTATTACAACATCTGAGGCAAACAAAATGTACTATTACAACATGTGTGTCAGACAGAATATACTTTAGAAACATGTCTGTGTTACTGGTCTTTCAGAGAGGATGATTCAAGATAAAAAAAACTCTGATCTTGATTTGAAACTGTTGTTATGATTCAGGGGGGTCAATCCAGGGCTAGCAATCCGATGGTAGGACTCATCAGTTGATAAATAGAGATGTACTTTCTTCTGCATGTTCAGGTCACTCTAACCAGATTGCTCATCTAAGCAAGACTGATGAGCAAGAGTAAACACCACGCAATAATCCATACTATTAATCAACTGTTCAACTACTCGTCATTTTATATAAACAGATGTATATGATATATGGTATACATCCTGTATATCATAATTTATAGATTCCTAAAAGTGCATTTACGTCAAAGCCATTATTTTAATTTTAGGATTTTGTTCAATAAAAGATCTTTGGAATTAAAAAAGGTTGATGAACTTTCTTTGTCTACAGTGATGGCAATTGAAGTGGTATGACTTTTTATGAGATACCAAATACCAGAACTGAAGTTTTTTGCTGTATCTGGCTGTATCTGGACACTGTCTTCCTTTTGAAAATGTACATGTTATCAGAGAATAATTATAGAACTGTAGAAAGTATGGCAATATACTACAACCATCAGAACAATACCGCCAGAAAGATCTGTAAAATACAACAAAATACAGTAAAATGCCACATGTTTAGATCTTTAATAATGGCAAAGAATCAACTGGAATATATTGTAAGGGAGTAAGTGTTAGAACAAAGCATCATCTTCCTGGCTCTTGAGTGCCTCTGGAGCAGATGTTAACAGTGAAATGTGCATGGCCATGATTCTCAACTGCAGAGCTAATCATTGTTTGAATTTTGAGCTAGAGCTAATCATTGTTTGAATTTTGAGCTAGAGCTAATCATTGTTTGAATGTTGAGCTAGAGCTAGTCATTGTTTGAATTTTGAGCTAGAGCTAGGCATTGTTTGAATTTTGAGCTAGAGCTAATCATTGTTTGAATTTTGAGCTAGAGCTAATCATTGTTTGAATTTTGAGCTAGAGCTAATCATTGTTTGAATTCTGAGCTATGGAGATTACCATTGTTTCAATTCTGAGCTACAGAGATAACCATTGTTTCTACACAGCTAATTATTGTCCCGATTCTAGGATACAGAACCAATCATTGTCTTGATTCGGAACCAAAGAAATATGAAAAATTTCATATAATATTATATATCATTTGCAGACATTTGCAGTATCATAGTTTCTATTTGACTCATTCTGTGTTATCAGTTGCTGAATACCAGAACCTTACATTAAAGATCTAATAGCAAAGGTTTTGCAAAAAATGAATCAATATATAATGAAAAAAATAGGATATGTGTTTGTAATATTGGTATAACTTAAGATTAAAAAGTGTCACTATCTCTTTCATTTTTCAACAAATATAGGCTCACGTGACATGTGACGCGAGGCAGGCAATTTTGATCTATCATAGACCATATCAGTATCAAATTGCTGATATTTCAACCTCGTCTTGCGAGGCCATTTCGATTTGAAACATCTTGAATTTGGTGTCAAAATAAAGCTGGTCACACCCACTTTCATAGTTATCAATGAATCATTTACTACGACTAATTAATTCTAAATTAAGGTAGGATCTGCCATTTCTTCCTGTACAAGTTATAACTTATCTCTATCAAATCCTAAAGTTTTGGATGAAGATATGAAGCATATGTTTAAAAACGAAGCGATTAATTTGACGATCTGATTTGCAATTTGCAATGGCCAATTTACTGCAAGTCTGCGCAAAGTCTTGTATCTAAATGCTCGTTAAGCCACTCAAAAACAGGATCCATATTTTCTAAATTTGATAACTTTGCAGAAAACCTGTTTTCATAACATGTTTTCTGCGTCTAAATTCAAACTGAGTAGGATAGAGGATCGTTGGGATCCTCAGTCAATGGCGACGGGTCTTCATTCCAGAACTCATGTTTTTTGTTGATTCTCTGTCATAGTATAGTACTTGTCTAAAGTCCCCATATCTGCTCTCTTACTGGTATACTTGGACACATTTCCCCTCCTTAAATTGTCCTCAGTCAAATTACACCCTCTCGCCGATTTATATAGCCATTTCCCAGAACCCGGGAATCAGAATCGCTGATGTTTGCCATATTGAACATGTTGAAATATGTACTGTAATACTCTATATTGCCTGCTACGCGTAATGGTCACGTGACTAGCAGATGTTAACAGTGAAATGTGCATGGCCATGATTCTCAAATGCAGAGCTAATCATTGTTTGAATTTTGAGCTAGAGTTAATCATTGTTTGAATTCTGCGGCTAGAGTTAATCATTGTTTGAATTCTGAGCTAGAGTTAATCATTGTTTGAATTCTGAGCTAGAGTTAATCATTGTTTGAATTCTGAGCTAGAGTTAATCATTGTTTGAATTCTGAGCTAGAGTTAATCATTGTTTGAATTCTGAGCTAGAGTTAATCATTGTTTGAATTCTGAGCTAGAGTTAATCATTGTTTGAATTCTGAGCTAGAGTTAATCATTGTTTGAATTCTGAGCTAGAGTTAATCATTGTTTGAATTCTGAGCTAGAGTTAATCATTGTTTGAATTTTGAGCTAGAGCTAATTATTGTTTGAATTTTGAGCTTTGAAAAATTACATATAATATTATATATCATTTTAAGACATTTGCAGTATCATTGTTTCTATTTGACCCATTATGTGTTACCAGTTGCTGAATACCAGTACCTTACATTACTATGTGGCCAGTAGATGCCAAACATTTGACATACCATCAAAATTTAAAGTTAGACCTATCCAGTATATAGGCCCAGATTCTAGCAACTACCGAACTTGGGCCTATGTGTATCATGGTGATCTCATCAGGAAGGAATATAGAAAGTTTTACATTATAAAGTTATAAATATAAACCATGGGTTAACATAATAGGTGGTAAATTATTACTGGTTAGACCACCTCCACAGTTGTTTAGCTGGTTAATTAGGAACATAGAGATGAAATATGCTGGTAATCCTAGCCTATCATTCTGAGATATCACTAATACACTAAATATGAATCAGACCAGGGAGGGATCTAATATTGTCCACATTTTAATCATAATAGCACGAGATAAGCCATATGGGGCTAGTCTTCATCAGCTTCTCAAGATAGAATATGTTATCAATGTAGAGCCTTTATCAAAGGGCCAGAAAAATATGGAAACCTTGAGAAAATTACCCTAAAATCTCTTCAAAAGAGGCTAATTATTTCTTTAATTTTGAACAGACCATGCCTTCTTCGCCTTCCCTGTCCAGAAACTTTATTTGTTAAGTAGATCAAAGAATTCAACACTGAAGATATATACCCAACATTATAATATCTCAACAGAGAGTTTTGAGTTTCATCAAGAGACTAGATAGAGTCCTAAGCATCTACAGTACCCTGTATAACATAAAGTAGCACATCCCATAATGAAACATTTTACATTTAAAAATTACAGTTATGGGCAAAAATGATATTGACATCATACTAGAGAATTCATATCTGTATTACATGGCTTTTTGAACATGGCTTAAATTGCTAATTTGCTGATGGAAAGTGCCAGGCCAACATATGGTTCATCTCTCATTCTACCAAGTTCATTATAAAAACATTATGGTTAGATATTTCAATATGTAACATGCCTTCACTAACAATGGTTCAGTTGACAAATCACATTTTGGAGACAAACTGTCACTTATTGTCACAAAAGTATATTCTTTAAACAAGTATTTCTTATCATGATCAGAAAATAACTTACAATTTATGAATTTTTATCCGAATCTATTTTCTCAGTCCTATGTGTCTTGCCTAAATATCTCTTCCAATGTCTATAAAAGAACTTATTAACACCCATATGATGAATGTTCAATATAATTCCAACTTTTAATATTAATTTGAATAGGTAAAACTTACCTATAGCGACGGTTTATTTCTATTTAACATTCCCATTTCAATTCACATTGTTGTTGTGGTAAAGACTTTAATATTTCATAAGTACAACTTACTGCTATACTAAATGTGTTCATAATATACTGCTTTGAACAAACATTTTCATTTATAGACATAAGTCAAAATCATTTTCATCCATTTGTATACACGTTTAAATCCTATGAAGTCTGTTGATCATTCTGAGGTTATAAGTAAGGATAAAAGATCTGACACTGAGACCAGCCTCCACACATGTAAATAGCCTCCTCATGTGGCCTTCTCTTAATTGCATCCTCTTAGTTTATACACTCATAAGATTTCACACTTTACATGGAGTCACATATAAGACAGATGTAATTGCTCTTTTTATGCATCATTTTAGTTGATCTGGCAGAGCAAGATGTCCATATGGCCTTTGTGCCATATGATGAGCTTTCTAGATAAAACAGGTCCACTACAGCACATTTGCGATGAGGGGGGGGGGTTATGAGGGAGTGTTTCCAAAAGCCCTGGCAAATAAAATTGCTGTGGCTTCTATTGGTACCACCCAGGAGCCTGCTTCATATAATTTATTTGAAGATGTTGTTTGTTGCAGTGTAAGAGTACAAGATGGTCATTGACTTTGAAAATCATTATTTTGCACTTCCTTTAGGATTTTCAATAATGTTTTTAAAGTTGCTTTCAAAGTGTATGTTTGCATCAAATGCACAACACTTCATGACAGCTCTGTAGAATATTGTTCATGAAAGATCAAAAAAAGTATATCAGATCATGATATGTAGAGCAGTAGAATAATAAAACATTTGACCATGTTTTATGAATGAAAGAAAAAAAATAATATGAATATATAAATAAAATCACCCCATCAGCCCTTAACGAAGAAAAATCAATTATGCGTTTTCATTAACTAATAAATAAAACAATAAATGACTTACCATGAGAGTGAAATGTCTTTTAACAGTAAATCTTGTGCTAAAACTGACACTAAGATGCTATACTACTTGCTAAGTTTTGCTCAAAGATGACACTTGTAATTAAACTAGATTAGGTGAACATGTAAATAACTCTCATTAGTTAATTGGGAAGAGTCGAGTTTGTTATTGAATGTTCTTAGGGGGCCTTCATCATCAGTTTCAGTTAATGTTATGATAGCTCATACAGATGTGGTTGTGTTTGGAGAAGGGATAAAGCAGAGTGATTGTGAATTTAATGATATACTGTGTGGTATTATGGAACTATTAACAGTTCATTAACAGTTTCCAAAGTCTTGAGTAATGTAATCAGTTTCATTTTTATGATTTACAGTAGTTCTTTAAAAAAATAAGTTGATTGTGGGTGGAGACATACTAAAAAAATTTAGTTGCAAATTCCACAACATAATACCTTAGTGAGAATAGTTAAGTCTGTGAATATACCACAATGGTATTGTCTAAGTCAAATGTCGCCAATGATTTTAAAATTACCTTTCCACATAAAGGTTGTAACAGGTTTAATAATATGGGTTTATAAGTTTAGGTATGAATCGTGATTAACAGCTATGCTGTGCCAGGTAGTCTACCACACACTGACATCAAGTAAACAATTTGCCCTCCTCCAGCTGAGAGCCGCCACATAAAATGTCAACACACAGAGAATAAGAAGATGAGGTCGGAAGCAGAGACAGGCAAAGAATTAGGTGAGAATAATAAATACAAAACTCGACTCATTAATGATGTTAAGTGCCAGAAAATCTCAGTGAATAGAATGATTTGTTTATGAGTTGTATTAATACATGAATCTAGATGATGACCACCCTGACATGACCTCGCTGATATATCCACAGGGCAACAACATACAAAATACAGCTCTGTGCCAACTCCCTGCCAGTTGCTTCACCACATTAATATACCATACACCAAGAGACTAGCAGGTCAAATGTTAGAAACAGCAAGATCTTGAGGCTAATCACAAATGTAACCACACCAACATTTAGCCAGTTAAAGTAACTTTATTATTTTACTAAATCTCAACAAAATATATATTTTTGCTCTTTGACATATATTTTTCATTTTCATTTTTTGAGTATACACTGCAACCTACTTCAATATGCTACTATAATATTGACATCAAAGGCGTTTGGATTGATCAACCTATGTTTCTGTATGGATTGCTATGTTTAATATGGTAAAAGGTGTATGACTGTCATCCTTGATAAATTGAGCAATGATTTCTTGTAGATACCATTAACAACTGCACCATAGCCAGGTACCTCTAACCCCCTCCCCATTTACTACAATTGCAAGGCATTTCCTACTATTTAATATTGAATCATTACATGACAGGGTGGGGAGAAAATATTAGTAAGTTGATGCATCATCAGGACTATTCAGATTCACCAGGAAACATAAAATATTGTTTTTGCAAATAAGCCCAGAAAACAAACAAGTGTGAGTCAAACAGGGCAACTATCCAGGCAAGACTTGGCAAAGGATGAAGGGAAGATGATGTTTGCAGGCCAACTTCAACAATATAACTCATTAATATAAACTACTGGTAGGTAAGTGGGCGTTATGTGATTCAGCCACAAAACAGTCCAATCATCCGCTTATTAAATAGATACTGGTACTTTTACTTTGTATTTTACTTTCAGTTGGCTGCATTTAGTCATGATTATCATGTTATCATTATTATTCAGTCACAAACATTTTTTTCTCAACTGATGTTCACCCATTTCACACCTTAAGATTCCATTTCTTCATCTTACAATTTTCCTCTGTTTTAAGATGAGTTTCTTTGCTGTTCATATTACAAGAAAATTCATTCATGCAAAAGGTAAAAAAGGTTTCCTGTTGTTAGATATAGTTTCCCATTGACTCCACTGTAATAAGACACAACATAAACAAGCTAGGCTGACTGGAAGCAGAGTATGTGTAAGTGAAAACAAACTCCCACTCACCTTCATGCAGATTCTCTCTTATTTTGATCTCCCATTTGATCATCAACTCTCGTGAGGGTAGAGCGAGCATTGAGATCTGGCCTGGACATATTATAGCTAAGATGTGCTGCTCTTTGTCATAATTAAATCCTGATTCAATAGCATTCACATTTTCAATTGTCAATGTCACTTTCTTACTGCCATTCTTGTGGTATTCATTAAGATCTTTGTAAAGAGTCACCAACAGTTGATCTGCAAATAGAAACCTCAGATTGTCATTTCATGTTTACGCCAAAAATACTTTTTCAACATATGTTTCTGATCATACCATCTGTTTTTATTCAAATCATAATACAAACAGAAAACAGTATCTCATCCCTGGATTTAGGCAAATGAAATAAAGCATTCTGGACTCTTTAACAAAATAAAGTATATAGTTATAGTTAGTAATAGATTTGCAATTACTGTAATTAATGGGAACAGAACCAGCCCATATACAGAAAGCAAATAAATAAGAAAAAGGCTAAATTTGTGAGCACAGTTAATGCTCCAGATACCCTGCGTGCAGAGTCTAGTTAAACTACACTCTGCCTAGTAGAGACTATATTACAGTTTAGTAGCCCCACCCCCACGACGGGTACCGGTGACAGTTTGGGTAATAAATCACTTTTGACCTACGCGCTGACCTTTCTTCCACCAATCAGCGAGCTTGAAGAAACATACGCCAAATGCGTTCTAATTAAATATGCGCGTGTCATTGGTCAATTCCGGGCTCAACGACGACGTCAGAAGGACTGACCATATATAGAACGTCGGTCAAATTTGGCCGACGAACACTGATTGGCGCGGTGAGTTCACAGGTTTATTTTAGTTTGAAAGAGTGAAGACGAAGCTCTCTTTTAAGAAGTGAAGTCAAACGAATGCAAAGGGTATACTCCAGACCCTAAGGCTAGTGGTACTAATCATTAGTAAATGAATGAAGCTCTTTTTAAAGACACATGAAACGAGTTGATACTCAATTACAGTATGTTATGTCTCTACACATAACGATTCTTTCATAAAATGATAAATGGTGATACAATCTAAACTATTCTATTACATTATAAGTATACACTGAGAAATCTCATCAGAATGAAATGACATCTCTAATCTGTGTTATTAGTAGTAAAATATCTATTATATGTAACTATAAGCTAAAGCCCGTTGGCTTATTCCTAAAAAAACATTTACAATTGAAGTTGATGATAATGATTATCTTACAAAACTGACACAAGCCCACACTTATTGGGTATCTCTCTTTGCAGGGGCAATCACTATTAGCTACACATTTATACTTATTATTAAAAATTGATACACACGTATGTGTCAGTGACAGATAAAGAGATGGATAGCCACAAGAAGTAAGGGAGAAAACTACAGCTCAAAAGGTATCCTAAAATAAGGAAAACAACAAATTATCACTTTAGTTCTCTCCTGTGGTTGATATTACTTCAAGGCCACCAGATCTTTCAGGGAAATCAGGTTTAACATTTTCTAAAAGAGTTATTCAAAAACCTGACTTGAAGCATAAGTTAGAGTATGTTATTTAACATATTTAAAAGAGTCAAATGAGCCTCATTTACTATTAAGCCCGTAGCCAGGAGGGGGGGGGGAGCTGGGGGAGCATGCAGTTTTCACCATTCCGAGCACTTTTCACATGAATTTTTAGCCAAAAGTGGGAAAAGCCCCCCCCCCTTTGGTAAATCCTGGATACGGGCAAGAATATGAACTCTGGATTCCCCAAAAAAGGTTAAGCTCTTGTTGCCTCAAACTAATACAATAACTGTCCTCTCATGAGTAATACATGTATACAATGTACAGAGTGACTATGGTGATGATAATGTAATGGAGCTCCCATGACAGTAGACCTAGCAGAGATATTCCATTACCAAGCACTCACCATTTGTCAGATTAAAACACGAATACTATTTTTGGACCACTAATAAATATTTATAGGGAATAATATACAGTACATTTAAATGAATCCTTGATCAAAGATGCAGGTAGAGACAGTTTCTCCACGCTAAAATCATCCTCTTGAATTAGAATAAAAGACTGGTTGATAATGGCAATAGACATCCAGAATCATGACATAACAATATTTATCCTATGCCCAGTAGAGTTTTAGGGAAATAAGTTTATAAGATATATCCCATATCCTGCTTTTGAGGTTTCCATATCCAGAACCTCCATATCTCCCGCCATATCTCCCGCTCCAGGGCATATCTCCCTGCTTTGAAAATAAATTTGAAAAAAAGAATTTTTGAAAATAAATTTGAAAAACAATTTAGAAAAAAAATCTTGAAAAAATTTGACAAAATTTAAAAAAATAGAAAACTCAACTGGTTATAGGATAAGGCAGTTATGTACAGTTGGTTTAGATATGGGGATTATACCTCGTGAGATATGCACATCTACCTTCGGTCCCTGCGGTCCCTTTGGTAAATATGCATATTTCCCTCTGGATAAACCCCATATCCAAAACCTCCCAGTACATAACCCTTATTTACACAGGCTATATATTTCATGTATCAAACAAACAAGAATCTAACCTCAAAATGCAGATTAAACATATTTTACCAATCAACCTAGGGGCCATTAATAGAAAATTCATAAAGTTAAAAAGTCCATTGTTCTCTAACTGTGACGTCATTATATCCATGGTAACAACAATTGATATATGAATTCGTAACTTTATGAAGTTTCTGTTTAATGACCCCCTGATTAATAATACAAGGACATGAAAAATACAGGCTCGCAATTCAAAACTGCCCCTTAGTTAATTTTGTTCACAATATCTATTTTTGAAAGATTTTCTAAAAGCATACCAGCAGTAGCAGTGGTAAGGCCTGGTGAAATACAAGATGACACAACTGTTTGAATACCATCCATAGCTACTGTCAATCCCAATAAAGATTCTCATCTTTTACAGTGATATGTCGCACATATGCTGACAGTCAACATACTGTCTGGAACCAATAAAAAACATGAGATGAAGAGAGAAATCTTATCTTTCTCAGTTCTTCTGTTTACGTTCACATAAAAGCTTCCTTCATAGAATTTCTCTACATGGCTATGTAGTTGATGCTTTGTCCACCCCTTCTCTGTTGTACTTTGCACACTGGCGGATCCAAAAGCTAACAAGGGGCCCAAATGTTGAGTTGCTTGCTGCTTGCTGTTAAACAAATGTTAGGCCCCTAAAACCCCAAATTGGGCCCAAATTTTGAATAATCAAAGCCCTTTTTGATAATTTGTCCTAAAAAGGCCTAAAAGGCCAAATTATGCCTATTTTGAGGCCCTACAAAATTTTCTAACCCAACATTTTTTGGAACCCCCCTGGATCCGCCAGTGATGCATGCATATGTGTCTGTCAAGTCAAGGGTGTAACTAATCCTCTCACACTTCAGATTGTGATATAAACCATGTACCATAATTATATTTTTAGACTGTTTTAAGGTATTGTTCCTATGTTTGCTCAAACAAATGAAGATATGTTTCCTCCAGATGCTCTGCTACACTTTAGCTGGATCTCTGAATATATGCCAGTATAAAGGCCTGTAGACTTGACTTTCAACATAATCTACTGACTGCTGAGTGATATATAAAATGTGATAATCTAACCTTATAGGGGCCATTAGATGCAAGTAAAATATATGCACTGGACCAGTGACTCCTCCATCACTAATGTCCAAGGGAATATGTTATTGAAGCTTGTATTTTAGAAAATAAGTGGTGTCTGCAGTATCTTGTAATTGCACTGGATGAAATAGGGAGGGACAAATAACACTGAAGCATGTTTGATGAAAAATACTAAGAGGTCATAATTGTAGCAATCAACTAAAGTAACTATTAGTCAATATTCAAGTAAATGATGGATTAGAGCTTTAACTGCTAATAAACAATAACAAGGTATTTACATGCAAAATGGCACCACCTGCCATTTATTACAGACACCAACTGCTGAACACCAACCACTGAACACCAACTGCCAAACGCCATCCACAAAAAGTTGGAAACTTAACAATATGTTACCACTTTGGTATACAGCATTTGGTAAATAAATAACATACGTAAATACACCAATGTTAACTATTTTATCCATGATTTAAATATCTTTGGTCTTCAATTTCACAGTACGCTCTTCTATGTACAGTAAGATGTAACTCATTTGGACAGCTACAATATAGTGTCCCTAAAAACACTCTGATGATATTCAGACAAGAACTTGTCTGATCTTACTTGCATGTTATATCATGTCCTGTCTGAAGAAGCTTAAGTTGTAAAAGTTGTGGGGATAAATGCTGGTATAGAATTATTAATAAATTGAAAATTGCTATTCCTCTGGCACACTTCTTGTATAATTGTGACTGTAGGCTAACTTTTCCCTCACAGATATATGAAAGAAGTTGTACCTTGCAGAAACTGGAGGAAGTTGATTGTACACTTCATTGTATTTATGTTTGCTTTGCATTTTTTGTAATATAACTGATAATAAAAACAGTGTTAATATATGAACTTGACTTCCTATAATGACTGTAGATCCCAACCACAGACAGAATGTGGTTTTATGTTGGGAGATTAATTGAACTGTTTTTATAGAGTACTATATGAGAATAACAGGATTCTTAAACGTGCTCAGTGCCTTTTATTTATGTTATTAAACATGGACAACCCATCGCATAGACTGAGTGCAGAGAGAAGGCTATCCTTTCAAAAAATATTGAGATTGTGGTAAGATCCAGCACCACACATGAAACTCAGCACCAGCACCACACATGAAACTCAACACCACCAGTGAAATCCAGTTCTTTCTCCAAAGTCACTTTCTAATCAAATTCAGTGTAAATATATAATAATCTATTAAATATAAACTCATATGTATCTTCATATGTACCTCAATATACATGTCAACATACAATTGTACATTCATCACATTTCAGAGGAAGCACCCAGCAAAATAAAAGATGCATATAGCTGACTACCTCAACCTGATGCAACAGACATGAAATAAGATATTGAGGGTAATAGAATAACAGCTGGGAGGATAAGGGAATATCACTGGTAAATAACATGTAAGAAACCAGTATATTATAGTAACATATAATACTTAGAGTTTATGTCACTATTACGTGAAATATGCCTGAGTTCTGCCAATATAGGCCGACCTTGGGAGGCTCTATATTTGGGCAAGAATGAAGGCTGAAGGCATATTT